AATCCCACCTTCCCTCCCCCGCCCTCTCTCCCCCCCCTCCCCCACACTGGCTCTGAAGGGTCGTATCAAATATTGACAGATCTTCCTCACAGTAGGCATTACTGTAAAAGGAAATATCGTCAGAATTCGAGTACAAATACACACACTTTTTAATAGCACGGACGGCGTTGCTGTGTCGCCGTTACGGGGCGTTTATCCGGCCTTTCCACGTGCCGCTACAACCGGTTAGTCTCAATTCCACTACACGGGAGTATATCCATGCTTTTCTTTTTTTTCCATTGGAGTTATGTTCTTTTTTTTTTACAATTACACGCGTGTTTATGCTACGTTTCTTTATTCCTCTACGCGAGATTTTATTCTATTCCTTCTGTTTCTGGTGTTTTTTTTTTTCTCTCGTTTTTTTCTCCACACATGTTTATCCAGTCTCTTCCTTTCCACCATTTATCCGGTCTTTCTTCCTAGTCCTTCCCCTCTCCTTTTTTCCTCTTCCTGTCATTTATTTTTTATTGCGTGTCTCTCCTCCATTAGTTTTAACTTTTTTGCCTTTACTTTTTTACTTCTCTCTTCTGCATTTCCCGTTTTAACCGACTCAATTTTTCACTCTTGGCTTTTCCTTCTTCCTTTGCTCAGTTTTCTACCTTCCTCCCTCTTCCCATTTGTTCTTCCTATCTTCCTTCCCCTCTTCTTCCGCGTTATATCCCTCCTTCTTCTCCTCCTCCTCTTCTTTTCCCTCCTTTCTCCTCCTCCTTCTCTTCTTCTTCTACCACTTCCTAATTCTACTCCTCTTCTTCCTACCCTTCCCCCTCCCCCTCCACCACCCTTCTCCTTCTTCATTCCTTTTCCTTTTTTTTTCTTCTTCCATTTTCTTTTTCTTCTACTCTTCCTTCTTCTCCTCCTCCTCCTTTCCTTGTCCTTCCGCCGTCGTTCTCCCTTCCTTTCTTTCCCCCTTTCCCTTTCTTTCTTCCCTCCTTCCTTCCTTTCTCTTTTCCCTTCTCGCCTCACATTCCTCGAAGACATTTTTTTTTTTTTATTCCATCTGTTATCTTCTCCCCCGCACGTCCGTCTTCATACGAGAAGACGCTGCTCGCGGGATTCCGGGATCACACCGAGGGAAGTGGGATGAAGAGAAATCGGCCAGCATCCCACTTTCAACCTGAGGGGGTTAAGCTAACTGGCCCGAATAGTGATGAAAGGAGTTATATTGCTGTGATGATTTTCTCTTTTATTTTTATTTTTTCTTGATCTGTGTTATGTAGGATTTGTTGTTTTTCTCTTCAGTATTTTTTTTAAGGATTGCGTGTGCGTGTTTGAGAGAGTGGAAGAGGGAGGAGGAGAGAGAGAGTGGGAGAGGGAGGGAGGGAGAGAGTAGGAGAGAATAGGAGAGAGAGAGAGAGAGAGAGATAGGAGAGAGAGAGGGAGAGAGATAGGAGAGAGAGAGAGAGAGGAAGAGTGCAAGGCAGGAGAGCCAATCTCCAGAAAGCAGCCTAGGAATCGCGCGTCTTCTACCTCACATAACCTCCCTTTCTCTCCCCACACCCAGGCCGCCTGTACGAGAACCACACGTCGCCCTTCGCCGTGGCCGAGCTGGGCGGGGGGACGCTGCGGGTCACGGTGCCCCTCGACGGCCCCCCCGAGTACATACGGAAGGCGATCGAGGAGAGGAAGAAGCAGAAGGCGCAAGTGGCGAGAGCGCAGGGGGAGAAGCAGGAGCGGGCGAGCGAGCGAGGGAGCGAAGGGAAGACTCGAGACGAGCAAAGTGACGTCGTGGTGGGGAGGGGCGGGGCGGGCGGCGCAGGGGGCGTCGGGGGAGCGCGGGGGCCAATGGGTAAGGGGCAGACGGAAAGACGTATTCCAGAATGAGGCAGAAGACGATGTATCTAGTGTTAGCCGATCGGAACAGGACGCGACGGGAAGGGTCGCCGCAGCAGGTGAGGATACGATACCAAAGTCAATAAAAACTAGTATATCTAAAGACTTGTTGAATTCTAGCGCCGATGAGAAGGGACATCGAACTCTTAGCCTTAACAGCAGTGTTGTTCCTAGCATAAGAAACACACATGAAAGGCCGCACAGCAGGAGAAAAACGGAAGTGACTGAGGGCGCAGTGCCAGTGACGAGTGCAGTGCCAGTGACGAGTGCAGTGCCAGTGACAAGTGCAGTGCCAGGAACAAGTGACAGTGTTGCCAGTGGGGAAGGGGAGGGGGAGGAGCGAGGAGGGAGCGGGCGGGAGGCGAGGAAGCCCGGAGCCCAGAGCGAAAGCCTGGGCGACTCAGAGAGCGAAGGCCTAAGCATCTTGTCCGGGGGGCGGAGGGGGGCGCGGGGCCACGATGATAAAGAGCAGGAGAAGAGGAAGAAGCCAGACAAAGGAGCCAGGATAAACATCCATCTGGATAGGAGCTCAGGAGATGGCGGCGCGCCCCTGGCTCGCGTCCCCGAGGAGGGATCGGGGACGGATAATCAAGGAGCAACGACTGCGATCGGACCGCGGGGCGGGACGGAG